TTTTTGTTGGATAGTTGAACAGAACTGTTTGCAGTCTCCCTGTTTGAATTTCCACTTTATATGTTTCACTTTTGTATCTTGAACAACTATTTGTAAAAGGATAGTATGTAAACATTAACTAGTGATTTCTTACTGTTTATTTTTTCTCTGAAGGTATGTATTATTTCTACCCATTTTCTATTTTGTTTAGTCTTTCTTTAAATAAAATTTAAAAACAAACAAGCAAACACAAAAAAAGGACTGGGGGTATAACTCCAGGCAAAGACCCTAGAATCACTCCCTAGTTCTGAAAAAAAAAAAAAAAAAAAAAAAGTAAAAAATAAAGCAAAGGATGGATTAAGAAGTAATAATACTCTTCTGTGATTTCAGAGTCCTGAGATTCTAGGACATTTAAATGAGGTAACGGGGCGGGGGCAGGTTCATTGAAGAAGTGAGCAGCGTGGATAATTGGGGAGCAAACTTTCAAAATTGGAGGCCAGAGGGAAGGGGCGGAGCATGGCCCCCGGAATGTTTGTCTTTGGAGAACAGCGAGGTGCCAAGGTGGCTGAAGCAATATAGCAGTGGAGAGAGAGGCCCCCCAGGGTGATTAGAGAAGACCCCTCTTCCCTGTCAACCTGTCCCCACTGATTGGGAAGTGCTCGCTGGACCCAATCTGTAAAACATCTAACTGGGAGACCACTGTGTCTGTGGACCTTTGAGTAGATGAGCTCACTTGACCGATGCAGGTTTTGTACCTCGGATGCCAAGGGCCCTCTGAAAAATGCCTGTGCTCTGTGTCCCAAGGTAGAAGGGGCTGCGCTGGAATGCAAGGCACCCGGCCCCTTTGCCACTGGCATTCTATGACCAGGACATGGCGAGCGGCGAGCGCATGCTAGGAGAGTAAGAGGGGATGCGTGTGGGGGGAAATAATTCATAGCTGCAGCTCGGGCACAAGCAGAGGAGACCAGGTACCCCTGCTGTGCTCTACTATAAAAACCTAAAAGCGTGAGTGTGTTTAACTATCTAAAGTGCTACTTAGGCTGCAAATTGTCAGAGAGCAGGGCTGATGCCCTATCAAGTAGGCACTGAGAATGTTGTTATCTGCAGGAAGAAGTACACGAGCTTCCTAAAGTGTGCGCTGTTTCAGAAGGACGAATCCATCGTGAGGCAGAGACTTGGGGGAGGACACGGGGCCTGGCACACACGGGATTGAATTTGCTCTTGTTTCCTCCAGCTCTGTCCCTCAAAAGGCTGAACTTGATCTCTGTCGCCACCTGCAGCCCAAAAGCTGCGCTGCAAGGTCCCGTCTCAAAAATCTGCCTTTATCAGCAGAGACCAGGTTTCTCCGGGGGAATAAACAGATTCTTTTTTAATAGAATCATAAAGAGCGCTTTTAGTTAAGCCAGTGTGAAGTCCAATCAGAAACAGGCTGAACCCCAAGGCTCTGGGCCAACGTGTTAACTTCCTACTTATGCTCATTACACTCATTTCTGTCAAGTTCACTCATGGGACACTGTAGTTGCATTCTTTAGAAAATGACATTCAGGGAAATGTGATAGTTTTATTTCCTTTTCTTCACTTTCACTTTTTCTTCCCTAACTCTTGGTCGACTTCCCAAAACTGACATGTTTTGCATGTTCTCTAGATATTGTGTATGTTATTTTGAGGAGTTGTTCAATGGAGGTGATGGAGATGTACAGGTTGGGGTCTTCGGATAAAAGTTTGGGCCAAAGGGAAGTGTTACTTGGTTCTGAATCCTGGTGGTAATGTTTTAGAGGATGCAGGCCTAGAAGACCATGAATACACTACCCTCTGGAATAAAATAGTTCCAAAACTTCACAGTATAAAGATGAGACTGTCTCCAAATCTACTGCTGCCTGTATCTGGAGCCTCTTGCAGACATGCACACAGCATGGACACACACCCAGCACACATACATATGCACAGGTACACACTATCCACAAACACATGGATATATGGGTGCACCCTACTAGTGCTCTGAGCTCCATGGTCCACCTAATTGAAGATTGCCACACCCTGATCTCAGACCTACCAGTTCAGTCTGAGATATAAACAGTGGATAAGACCAAAGCATGCCTCTCCCTCATACTTATATAATTATATCTCTCACAGCCTGATTGCAGCATAAAGGTTTTGGTGTGGCCTCTAGGAAAGAGAAGGAATTTAAAAGATGAGCCTCAGCTGTTTCCAATTGTTACTTTTAAATCCCTAAGGACAGAACAGCTCATCACTATTTCTACCAGAGTCCTGTAGATTTTTGTTTTGTTTAGCTTTACACTACTAGGGCTCGGTTCCAGGGCCTTGCACACTCCAGGCAATCACCTTACCACTAACCTGCATCCCCAGCCCCAGTCCTGCAAAGTTTGAATCAAAGACCTGAGATAGGTTTGGAATATCTTCCCACTCACTTACAAAGTAGTCAATAAATATTAGCTTTTATCTATAACATCTGCAATCCACACTGTGCGCCCTTGAAGAAGAGGGATTGTATATTTGAAGTCTTTGTGTTCTCTTTCTCTGCCAAGCGCTAACACAGCAATAGTACACACTAGATGCTCCAGATGTTTTTATACTTCTTTAGAGAACCTGACCTAGTTTAGGATAAGGCTCACTAGCACGAGGATGCCTGATCATGCCTGTGTGGTCCATGCACTCAAATCACACGAGGAAGGCCAGCAAAAATGAGTGATGATATGCTAAAATAATCGGGAGACTACTAAGTGGAGACAACTCCAGAACCTTGAATTCTTGCTGAAGCAAATTACAGTGCGACTCAGCACCAGCTGCCATAGCCTAGGAAGATAAAACTTTATATTAACCAACTAGAAACCAGCAATTAACCTCATTAAAGACTTTACCAATCAGAAACTACCAACTAAGCTTCAAGTAAGGACTGTACCTTTAAGTGATTTTACCTTCTCTTGGTTCCCAAACACTTTGTAAAAGTACACAAACACAGGCACGTGCATGCAAACACACACACACACACACACACACACACACACACACACACACACGATTCTTCAACAGAGCATTAAACAATTTGCAACTGGGCACTGCCTGAGTCATGAATGATTCAAATTGACTTAAGTTTCAGTGCATTTATGCTTCTCTTTTAACCTGGGAATGCAGGAAATGAGCTGGCTATGGGAAGAGGTAGCAGGGGCCCAGCTGACTGTGGAACTAGAGCACCAAAGCTGAGCTCAGGTAGTGCCAGAGTGAAAATGAGGTGCGGGGATGGAGAGTGTTAGGAAGAGGAGGAGGAAGCTGAGATGAGCTGATGCCTTGCTAGCACCCGAGTCCAACAGTGATCAAAGGGGCCCAGGCTTAACACCCCAGGCTGCTTGAGATGGGTCCTGTGGGTGTCCTGCATGCCATCTAAACTCTGAGCAGCTCCACCCGTCTTCCCATTTTAGTTTTCAGCAGCTCCTCAGCCACAAGCCTTGGCACCAGCCACAAGAATGACTCACCACTCTCCAGTGTGCTGGGAGCCCACCTCTATCACACCTTTCTGATTGTTGTTTCTGGCTAGAATGCTCATGCTGTGTTCTTCGCCTCTTTTGTGCTTCTCCTTTGAGGCGCAGATCAGATGCCCTTTCCTTTGTAAAGCAACAGCTGCTCCACCTCTGGGCTACAATGCCATTGTTGCTCCACCTCGCTTTGCTAGCCTTACACTGTATCATGAACATCCAACCAGAACCAAGTAGTTTGTTCCACCAACTCATTTAAGATCGTGTGTGTACTTGGCATTTTCTCTGTACCAGCTGCTGTTCTGGCCACTGCTGATGCAAAAATTAGATGGAATGTGCCCTTGAAGAGCACAGAGACCCAACACATAGTCACACATGACAACAAGATAGCCAGGAGCTAGAGTAGCTGGGGACACACAACGGCTAGGCAGGGCAGCTCGTGGAAAGAACCAGCAACCATGAAATGCACCATGCCTCTCCTTGCTGGATGCCTTCCTACAGCTTCTGTTTGTACTGAATACACAGAAGCCCTTTCTTTGTCTTCAGGCACTTCCCAACCCCAGCTTAATGATCTTGCTTACTTCCTGATCCTTTTTGGCTCTCCAAGCTGCAGCCCATCTCTGGCCTTTTGCTGTTATTTGAACACACAGGTGTTTTCTGGATCAGGGCAGGTGCCTCTAAGGCTGCATTCCTGGCCACAGATCTCTCCCAAGATCACTCCTGTTCCCAGCTCCTCCTGTCCTTTCGCCTGAGCCCAAAGAGTCCACCCTGACCACCCTGCCTGATTTACCACTGAACATCTTCTGCCTTCACCTTCTACTGTATTCATTGCCCTTGTCTGTTTCTTTTCTTGTTTATGTACTTGTTCAGTGTTCTTTCCACTCGATGTCAAGCACCAGGAAAGTCTACTTTTTCATCTTTCTCTCCTGAGTTCATGGAGTGGAATAGACCTTTGTGGTACAGATTGTGCTCAGGTGTACCATGTATGAGCTCAAGCTCCAATATGGGTAGCCAGCATGACCTCTGGCAAGTGATTTCATGTCTCTGTTTCCTCATCTGCCAGGTGGAAGTGGGAATATTTATTTTGCAGAATCAATCTAAGGAGACAGACACATTATTCTTGAAGGTTCTGACCCATGGTCAGACTCAGGACACATCAGGAGAATGCTGAGTAGTTGTTGCCAGTGCCCATCTCTGCCCTGGAACAACAGTCTATCTGCTCCAGCTTGAGCTGCACAGCTTATCCAGACAATGGAGAAGCACCAGGGCTCAGTGAACTGGTCCTAATACCAGTTCTAATTGCAAAAGCCCAGCCAAATTCCAGCCTGGCATTCCCAAATGTGACAAGTCATCTGAGCTCAAGGGCTCCACAATGGCCTCAAATTCAAAACATGCAGGGTAAGGCTTTGGAACAAGAGCTTGCCAGGTCACCCACGCCTCTTGCATGGAACACTGCAAGCAGGGCCATCTGAGGTCCTGCACTACTCTGCGATGGCTGATGTAACAATTACCATGAACTTAGAGGTAACACAAGACACATTTATTATTTTACAATTCTTGGGGTTACAAGGTTGCAAGAGAGAGCTATACTCCTGGGGGGCGAGGCTCAGGAGGAGGATCTGTTTTTTTGGATTTTCCAAGTTCCAGGGAATACCTGCATTTGTTGGCTTATGGTCCCTCTCTCCATCCTCAAAGTTAGTCAAAAAGTATTTCCCAATTTCCTCTGCATCCTACCTCCATCTCTTGGACACTTGTGATTATACTGAGCCTGCCTGGATAACCCTGGACACCTAACTCATCGTATTTACAAAGACCTTTTTGCCATGTAAGGTAACATAGTCACAAATTCCAGGAATTAGGATGCTGACATCTCTGGCAAGCCATTCTTCTGTGCAGTAGATCTGAGTAAGATGCACTTAGTTTGGGGTACCAAGCTGGAACTTGGTCTCCTAAGTCCCTACCGACTCTGTTCGAAGTAGAACTGAGTGTGGGCTGAGGGCTCACTCTCCTTGGAGAGCCGTACAGGCTGCTGGGGCTCATCTGGACCACACAGGAACCAGCCAGGGTAAGCAGCAGACTCAAGCCTGAAGGCAGAGCCCAAGCTGCTCTGGAAAAATGTGAAGCGGGTCACCTGCTCGCCTCCCTTGTACAAATCCTCAATGTTCACATCCTGTGGGAGAAAGTGGTAGCTGCATGGTGAAGGCTGATGAATAGGGGACTAACCCTAGAGGCCTCTGAAACTTGGCCAAAGAGGACTCAACAGGGTAAGGCTTTACCAATGGATATGACTTCCACAGGTTCCACAAGGCACAAAGGGGCTTGGTGCTGGATACAAAGGGAGATGATGGCAACCTGAGGAATGGGGATAGGTATCCCCAACCAGGACCCCACAAGTGGGTGCAAGATGACCAGGGGTTCAGCCTGGGCCTGCAGTAATACTTTCCAGTATGGGGAGGGATTTCTCACCTCCAGTTGTAGAGAAGGTCCTTCTTGTGTTTCCACACATGCCAGGCAGCGACTCCCTCCCTGGATGCCTAAGAAGATAGGGATCTTGGTGCGATCCAGACATCTGTTAGGAAGGATGCAGATCTTCTCTGGGAGGAAAGAGAAGAGGCAAGAGATAAGGGGAACTCAAGTTGCAGACTATTGGCAAGTGAAGGGTGAGCGGGAAGAAAGAGGACCTGGGGGTAGCTGGTCTAGCTGGGGCCCTTGCTACAGGCTGCAGGGGAACTAGGGCTCCACAGGGTCAGGCTCCCTCACTAAGACAGGCTGAAATTAAAACCTGCCTCCTCCCCTCGTTACAGGGCAACAGCTGACCCTCTGAGGGAGACAGCAGGGGAGCAAATAGTGTGGGGTGAGTCTGGGAGGAGGCCCCCGAAGCTCACCTGCATTGCAGTTGTCTGCATCAGGATCCCCCACCAGAAGCCGGTCATCTCTTAGGTACAGAACCTTCTGATCCAAATCTCTGATTCTGGAACACAGTGATGGGGCTGATATCCTGTCACCCTAGGTCACCGCTGAGCCCCCAATCATTCTAGTCCCATATTGTAAACCATCACACTGGGCTTTTGAGGAATCTTCTCCCTTCTACAGGTGAGAAGAGGAACACCACTCCCCCAGGAGCAGGCAAAGCCCAGGTCAGACGGAAGGCAGGAGAGGACTGCTGGGTTTGTGTCCTTCAGCTGCTCACAGGAGTGAGAGAACTAACCCCTTCTCATAGCAGGGGAGAGAAAACTTTCCTAGTTGTAAGAGAAGTTGCAAAGGTGACCTTTATTCCAGATTTTCTTTTTTTAGTAAAGAAATTAATTAAATGTATAATAAAGTGTAATTTACTTTTTGGACTTTTAAAAGACTTTGCAAGAGAAAATTCATCAATCAAAAAACAATTCCCAAACATTCTCAGGGCTACCACCCACTCTAGGAAGGGCAGGGGTGTGGTTTGGGTGAATGAAATACAGAACTGGAAGGCCAGTCTCTGGGGATGACTGGGTTGCTGGGAGGGTCAGTACGTGCTGGGAAGCTGGGCTACGCAAGCACATAACCCATTAAAGTCATGCAGATTGCAAAGTCAGTTGTTGAGCTAGTTTCAAAAATAGCTTTCAGCTCTCCATATCTTTGAGGCTGAATAGTTGGACCAATGACTCCACCTCCAGAAGATTTTTCTCTCTCAGTAATAGCTAGTTATCATACATTTTGCTAATGACTGCATATTTCCAGCAGGTTCACTTGTATAATAGAAATAAAAGTCTGAGAAGAGTTGCCAACTGGTGTTCTCCATTAAGCCCCAATGGTCAGGATTTTACAACTCACCTGGAAGCTGTATCCTTTTTGGAGACCAATAAATTGCAGCAAAGAATGCAAATTTCATATGAGGCCAAACGCAAATAAGAGTTAGAAGCCTGAACTGAGAGTGAAGGGCACAAGGCCACCATCAAGATGCTGTCACTCATCCAGAAAGTACAGCCTAATTTACGATTGGCTGGCACAGAGGCTGGAGGCTAGCCTGCACCATCCCTGCATCCCTGCCTACCCCAGATAACAGCAAATTGGGGAAGACAGCAAAAACTCAAGTCAGCACGCTTCTGAAAGGCCCTAAGCAATACGGAGAGGGCCAGAGACCCCCCCAGGACACTCCAATCTGAAAGAAACCAGAAACATGACAAGAGATAAGAATAAAAAAAAAACTCCAGCTGCCCAACATGAGAAAATAAGCCCAGGAAAAGTAAACACTGAAGAGAACAAGCACAGTAACCATCCAATACTGGACACAGCATCAGCCGAAATTAAAAAATACCTCCATGACCTCATAGAGGAATTTAAAGTTGTACTCCTGATCCAAGTGAGGCAAGATATAAAGAGATTAATTAAAGAAATGACAAGCCCCGCCCAAGAGAACACAGATGGAAGAACTGAGGAAATCAGAAAAGAAAGAGAAACTTCTGAAGAAGAATTTAAACATAACTTAGAATACATAAAACAGATCCAAAGAGATTACCAGGAAACTAAAAACTTCATTGAACACTGGCAAAATGCCCTGACAGAAACTAAAGCCAGCCTTCTGAAACTTGAAGAGAGATTTATGACATACGACCGTGAAAGAAAAAGCCTCTTAAAAATAACAAGGAACCAGAAAAAAACAATTCAGAGGCTAGAAGACGACAAAAGGGTACATAACTTAAGAATAAAGAATGTGAATGAGGAAGCAGGAGCAACCAAGAATGAAATACAAAGAATATTCACAGATATATTAAAGCAAAGCTTCCCATGTATAGCAAAAAGAAATGATATACAGATAAAAGAGGCATACAGAACACCAGCTACCTACAACCAAAACAGATCTATGCCTACACATATAATAATCAAGATTCCAGAAATCCACCAAAAGAACAGAATATTAAAAGCAGCCAGAGAAAAGAAGCAGATTACCCACAATGGGAAAATTATCAAAATAACAGCAGACTTATCAACACAAACTCTTAAGTCAAGAATGGAATGGGGAGAAATATTCCAAGTCCTGAAAGAAAATAATATGCAACCAAGACTCATATACCCGTCAAAACTCTCTCTCAAAATTAATGGAGAAATAAGATGCTTCCAAGACAAGGAGGAACTGTGGGAGTTCGTGGCCACCAATCCAACCCTACAGAGTGTGCTGAAGGCCATTACAGAGAAAGAGATGAAGGGATACCAGGCTTCCAGCAACAGTGGCAGAGAGGCCTCAATGAACGGGGCAGACAGGGGAATGAGGGAATAAGGTAGACAAATTATAGCAGAAAAGTGGAGTAGCAGACATGAGGCAGAGACAGTAAGCTATAGTCTTTAGTATAGACAGCTCTGAAACACTATTAAAAAAGGCAGAGGTCATTGTTAATAGTGTATCAGGATTTAAAAGACACAGTAGTCTTATTGTCATATTTAGCTTGAATTTAATTTGTTCTGGTCTGTCCACCCATGTCAGATTTGAGGGCACAGACATCTGACCCAAAAATAGCAGGTTATACCATGGTAACTATCCTTACTTTCCCATTAACTTAAATTGAAATCCTGTATTACTTACATTGTCTTACTATGACTGATCTTAATTGAATCCAATTCATAAGACCATGGGTATTCCTTGGCTGATTTTATTTGAATTTGGTATGCTTGTTAGTATCAACCCTAAAAGTAGAGGCAGCTATTCTGAAGATGACAAGATGTAAAGGATATCCAGACTGGTATTAATTATTAACAGCTCTCAAATCCTACAATGCTTTCAAAGTTGTGTTTTTATAAAAATAGGTAATATTATGTTAACTATATTAAGCTGATGATGTGGACAAATCTATTGAAAATAACAAGAGAAAATATAGTAACTATGGAAGATCACCTATATTGTGGTCTTATATGTCTTATCAATTGCATGTTTTTCTAGGAATTTGTTTTGCTGTCTTGTTATGGTTTGTTTTTCCCTATAATACAGAGAGGATAGATATATGTGTAGAAATTCACACATAAGACTTTTTGAAAAAATTATTTACAGGAACAGATTATATAATGCAAGATGTAATGAACAGATACTCTGAAGAAGAGACACTAAGAAACCCAATGCTAATTTTGTAGCATTATGATATAAATTCTAACAATACTATTATTCACTGATCAGAATGATATTAGTCTAGTCTCTTAAGTTCAATTTCAGCATATGTAAAGATGGGGACGACTACCACGAAGAGAATGAGAGATGCGATGGTAGTTATTATTGTCTTTCCCAATGGTAGATCTTGAAGACCTAAAAAGCCTTCATCATCCTGTAATGATTTGATTAGTTCTATAATATGCAATATGTATATAATGTGGGTGAAGATGGGGACAACTATTTGTAGGAAACTGGAGACAGTTAGATAGACAGTGGGGATCTCCAGTGGACTTGCTTTGAAATCTGTATTTCTTCAAATTGTTTTTTTAAGTGTTTTGTTCTGTTTTGATATGTTTAATCTTACCCTCTTTGAGATGTAAAACAAGTGTGTAGGACTGATAACCATATTACTGAGTTTTTGTTCGATCATTGAGCAGAACTGTTTGCAGTGTCACTTTTTGAATGTCATTTTAAATACTTTAATTTTGTAACCTGAACAGCTATTTCTAAGATGACAATATGTAACATATCAACCAGCGATTTCTTACCGTTTGTTTTTCTGTAATTTTGTATTATTTCTACCCTTTTTAATCTCCATGTATTTTTTTAATTTCCTTTTCTTTAAATAAAAAAAAAAGATGCTGTCACTGAGACTGAGAACTGTCTCTGGTTTTCAGAGAGAGTAGGACAACACCGCAGGGGATGTGGAGTCTGACCTCTGGCTTTGCCTTTTGGCAGCCACACCACATGGAGAAAATTATTTCAATTATTCAAGCCTTTCTTTCCAGATCTTTAAAATGGAGTTTGTCTGCTCCTCTTACAGGTGTCTTGGGATAGAGTTGAGGTGGCAGAAAGACAGGCATTTGGAGACACTCAGGAAACAGCTATTGTTATTGTGGTGATAGAGAAGCATAATTATGGGTCATTTCAGATTTCTCACTGAGAAGGAGGCTCACCCTCTCAACCTCAGCCTTCTTTTTTTCTCTCCAGATGATCCCCACCCTGGTCGAGAAAGTGGGGTCACACCAGAATGACTTACATGTAATATCTTGCCATAGGGAGCGAGCACATTCCTGCAGTCAGGAGGGTCTGGTCCTCAGGAAGGGGAAGGAGGAAAGAGCTGTTAGAGAAGGCAGACAGATAGATCAGGGGATGGTGCACTGAGCTCAGAATTATCCAATTACAGGATGCAAAAGTCACTTATAATTAGGCTGCCAGAATCCACCTCCCCATCAAACTCCGGGTAGTTCTGCCTCCCTCTCATGGGAGCAAGTGAAGCTGGAAGGGGGATGAGCCTGGATCATGAGTCCTGCTTTTCCTGTTCTGGAAAACTAGAGAACAGGTTCCCTCAAATAACTTAACAGAACATGTTCCTGACTGGGAATGATATAAGATACTCTCAAGGACCACAGCGGGAAGCAGGTATGGAGGGACAGATTGAGGCTGACAGCAGCCGAGTTATCTCAGCACTGAGATCCATGGTCTGAGTTTTAGAAGAAACTGGGCTCCAGCTAAGGTGGCTTTCAGCACAGGATCTACTGCTGTCATCTTGGCCAAGCCATCTTCTACCCCCAGGCCTTGAGGCAGTTTAAGAGCTAGTGAGAGGGAAAGATAACAGAGAACCTAAAAAAAGCAGATGGATGGACAGTTGGTGTCATGAATCAAACTACATGTGTTGCTCTTATTCCAAAGAAAAATGATGGACTTCCCAACATTTAAAGATATTCACTACATTCCTTTTTATAATACTGTGAGGTTGAACACAAGCTAAGTATCAAACAATTGACTTTAAAGGCATGACAAATTTGGAAACTGCGGCATATGTGCCCATTAAGATGGTACTACAGAAGAACATTTTATGACATAAAAATTTCTCAAGAAAAAATAGAGGTTGTGAAAAATACATACATTGTAACCCATTTAAACCTCCATGCACTGAAAGGCATGCACCTACAAACACACTGCTGTGTTATAGCACCTGTTTGTGGCTGGCAGGACTAGAAGAGATGCTTTAACATTCCTAACTCTTCCATAATGAATACTCACTTCCTTTGCCACATAAAATATGCTTTAACTTTTAAAAGATGGAAATGTTTCACTAGTCTCATTGGCTCCCAAACTTGACTGCCCAGCTGAATTCCCTAGGGGACTCTTTACATATTAATTCTTGAAGGCATGGGAATTGGGGTGCTAAGTTCTTCTCATTCACATATATAAGCTGGAGTTCCCTAGGTCTGGGACAGGGTCCAAGATGCTGCATTTCAAGCATGCTAATGCTGCTGGTACCTGGGTCACACCCTGAGTAACAGAGTAATAGCCGATTCCCTAGACTATGTAGTCCAGTGCCAGGATGGTCCTTCTGCAAACCATACGATGTGTTTCCTCTTGGCCAAACTTTTGGCGGTACTTTTGTGGTGGCAGCAGAAGTATGGGCAGCCTCATAGCTGCGCTGAGACTCAGGAGGGACAGGTAAGTGGAGAGAACCCTAAGTGACATGAAGCTGGGTGGGCAGGTTGGTAACTTCCAATCTTGGTTGGTGTCAGCTCAGAGAACTGGCAGAAACTCAGTATGAAGCAGTCCAGCTGCATTCTATGGGCTCCAGAAACCCCTATCCTGGTGCAGCTATCATATCCCCTCTGCCTGGGCTCTGGCTGGACTATGATGAAAGGAGGAACAGTGAGAGGCTGGAGTCCTGCTGCTGGTCATTTGCCAAGATCCTTCCCAATGTGGCACGCAGTCCCTCCCCAAAGCCTTCCTTTCTGTGTTGGTCCTGAATGACTTTCCACTGAATTTTGGCCCATTTCTTTCTTTTCGTCCTCTGCCTCCTCCTTGCATGTGGCCACTGGCTGTCTCATACCTCCTCAATTCTCTTTTCCTAGATCAAATACTACCAACAGAGCACCCCGGGCTTGCTCCATCTTCTTTGGCACAACACATCCATTGCCCCACACTTTATGTGGAGGTCTGTGTTCTCCAAGACTTGGCACTAACTTGAGCATTCACTTCCATGGATCCAAATCCAATGACTCTCTGATTCCTTAGCCATTTGGTCACTCCTCTCCTCTCTGCCTCAGACCCATTGTAGCTTCTTCCTCCTTCAGCCACTGTCCCTAAGACAGAGAAGAATAAAGAAACGAAAGCCCTAAGCACTTCTATTTCATATCCCATAGAGCTGCAATTCATAAATCTCTGCAGCAGCAATCAGCATCTTGGTCTTGTGCTTCCCAGGCCCAGACTAAACATACTACTTTATCCCCAGCCATTTACAGGACACCCCTCTAGATCCACCATCACACTCAACCAAATGTATCTAAGTTTAAATTAACTATTTTCTACCCCCTTTAAATCTACTCACTCCCTCAACTCCATGACTCTCACTCCTACTGTTATCATCAATAAAGTTCAAAGCCTGAGATACATTGAAAATGCTTCCCATTTCTCTGATTTTATGTCTGCTTTGCCAATGAATTGTGATGGATTATTCCTTGAAAATACAACTTTGTATTATTAATCATCATTCCAACTGGGCTAGTGTTCTATTTTTCAATCTTCAAATCAACCCAACCTATCTGAAGCCTCTGGAGCTCATTTTCAAAGTTATTATGCACTACATCTCAGCCTAACTCTTGAATCTATAGTACCAAACCAATTTGCCACCATAAAGGCCCTGATTTACTTGTATGAAAATATTTTACTTTTCTGCAATACAACTTTTCCCCATCTTCTCAATCAGTGGGTCAGCACCATCTTTGATCTTGTCTCAAAATTTCTCTCTCCACATTCCTGTCATTTTAGATCTCTCAGTATTCAGATTGCTGGACATATATCAATATATGTGACTTTGGTAGTCTAGTTCTTCCCAGTTAATTACTGGCTCAGAGCAAGAGCTTAGACATACAGGGTCAAGCCACTTGACTGCCAAACCTCAAGACTGACATCTATAAACTCCAAGGATTAGATTATGTGGTTGTTAAGGTTCTTTCTAGGTCAGACTATCTATGATTCCATGACTCAGGTTTAATGGTTCTTCTTTACCATTGTCACACAATTCTGAACTCCTATTAAACTTTATTGTATTCTTTATGTTACACATGAAGATATTTGCTGCATGGGGTACACCTCACTGCTCGGGTGCACCCCGACACATATGGCTACGTACAAACAGGACAAATCCTCACAAAGCACAAAAATGCCAAGACTGGGTTCTTGACTTAGCTTTGCTCCCAATGCTTTGCTCCTGACTTTTCTTGCCACTTTTTGTCCCTGGGCCTCTAATTTACACTCATTGGAATGCAATGTCAGGCAGGGTTATTGTTTTACAAAGCTGTTTTAAATTTCACAATGAGATTTTTACATAGAGACCTAATACATGTAAAATGGATAAAGGGATTGGCTCTTACTGAACAGGGAGTGTGAAGGTTCTAGAACCCAGCAGGTTTCCAACCTCCATCAACCACTTCTTAAATTCCACTGGCCTAGATTTCTTCTGAGATTTCTTTCTAAACATCTGTGGCTCTCAATACTTAAAAAATCTTGATTTGACTTAGCCTGTACCTTTGCACAAATTTCTCTCTCTGCTCCGAGTCTTACTACCCACCCCACCATGTCCTGTGAAGCGGATTCCTTGTTATCCACGTAACTTTGCCAGGAGGAGCTAAGAGGCAGAATTTCCAAGATACTGGCAGAAAAGAGAAGAAAAGAGAGCAAGACAGAGCAATAAAGGCTGAGTATTGCCTGTCCATCACTGACCTGCAGATCCTGGGTGTCTGGAACCTTCAACTGACTTCTCCAGGACAACCACACTGTGTTTATACTGTCCAGTTCCGGGTGGGTCAAGCCTATAGTGATCTCTGTAACTGGCTTCAGGAGGGGAGGAAGAGGAGCCTGGCAATTTCACAATGTCTTCAACCCAGTATGGATAATAAGAAGGTCGGGAGATTAATGAAGGCTTGTTGAAGGATGAGAGAGTCTCCATAAAGCCTTGTCGGAGGCAAGACACTGAGCTCCACTCTGTAGCTACTGTCATTGACTGTTATTAATGGCTTGGCAGCCAGATAAATACTACTGAGATCAGACTTCTCTGATGCCATAGGGCTCCATCTGAGGCTTGGAGAGACAGTGAATGCAAGAAAGTGTGTCTGAAGGGGCCAAGGACAGATCAACCTCTAGTCCTGGAAGCCAGGGTAGAGTCAGGGCTTCCGAATGAGAGCCAGGGCTGATAGATTATGTGACCTGGTTTGGAAAGATCAGAGAAGAGTCTCTATTTTTCAATAAGTTTAATTATTTGGTACCAGCTGGATCAGATAGAGCATTTAAGGAAACTCAGCTGCAGAAGATATTAATCTTAGGGTCACCCTAACACTGAGCAAGTGCCATGTGGCTTGAACTTCTAGAGAATACACAGATGTGAGCAGAAAAAGGTCAACAAACTAACAAATATCAGTTGTTAATTGATATTACTCCACTCAATCCAACCACTGGCCAAATATCAGTGCATCCATACATCCATACATCCATCCATTCACTCATCTTCCCATGCACCCAATCACCCATCCATTCTTCCACCCATCTATTCAACTTCCTAAATATCCACCCATCCATTCATTCATCAATCCGCCCATCCATCCATCCACCCATCCATCCACCCACCCATCACAAGGGGCAGAAAAGCTGGGGGATAATGTTCTCTGGAGACAGTCTTATTTAATTCTCTTTCTCAGGTCTTTTGTAAAGTTCTGATTTGATGAAGAAATAAGAGGAGTCATCCTAAGACCCAGATACTGACAGATACCTAGAGTTTTGTTGTGTGAGGCAAATGTTCATTCTTTACCCAATTTCTCTCTCTTCTGTGGGAGGGCCAGAGTGGATGGTGTTTATATTTACACTGTTATATGACAAGAACATATGCAGTACACAATCTATATTGTTAGTAGCCTTACAATTCAGCAGAGAAGTAAGTCATAAATATTTGAAAATAATTTAAAAGACCAAACTCTAAGCTGTTAGTCAAGAACATGTTGTAAAACAATAGAAGCAGAGAAACTGGTTGGGTAAAAAATATTAGAATCAAAATGACCTTCAACATGACATTGTCTCCCTCAAAATAGAGAAATCTGTGCTGTCATTCCTGAAAAATTCTGAGAAATAGGTTGATCAGTCCCTTCTTCAACATCTGTAAGTAAGGAACATGACCTTTTTCTTCCTTATTCTCAGGCCCCACCCTCTCTTCGTGGTAGTGGGGATTAAACCCAGGGCCTTTGAACTGAGTTGCATCCTTGATCCTTTTTACCTTTTTATTTTGAGACAAGTTCTTGATAAGTTGTTTAAGATGAGCTTAAATTTGCAGTGCTTGCACACCCATATCCAGAATCGCTGGGTTTCAGGTATGCCCAGGCCATATAACCTCATAAAGAAATGCTCACAGTGGTGTGGTCTCTGTGAATTATTTTGTGGATCATGCAGGAAAAATAGTCTCCACATAAATTCTATTCTTTCATCCTATTTTGCTTTCTGGGGTTAAACAGAACAGGCAAGTTCTTCTACTTGAGAGGCCCCTGGGAATCTGAAAGGAGCTCCCTATATATTGTTTCTTCAGGAAAAAGACTTTCAGTGTGTTTGCCTCTTCCCTATGACCTGGTCTCAGGACATTCTCTGCTACTCAGTGGATACAAGTGACACAAAGCCTACATGATGTGAGCATTGAGCTTCTTTAACAATATGTATAGGTCTGTTATTTACAACAAAATCTCAGAAATCTAAATCTGCTAGGTCGTTTTCACTTGAGCTGCCATGATGCCAGGGTCCCCCACTCTATACATTCCCAAAGGAATAGTGTTCCCTCCACCATCAACTTAAATCAACTCAGATAGACTAAAGTCCTTGAGAATTTCATCATCCCACAAATAGTGAAGCAACCATTTCACACTTGAAGAGATTTTCAAGAATATGGCAGAATTTGAACAGTTCCTTTAAGAAATTAGTGGGTGGAGGAGAGAAAGAAGGTGCCATGGTGGAGAGTTTCCATATTGTATATACTCAGCAGTTTCCAATTACCTGATAAGTATTATGTTTGGTGCTCAGGAACAGACTGGTATAGCTCTAAACATGAAGTTATCTCTGGGGCCCATGGATTTTAAGCTAATTTGCTACAGGTCAAGAAATGTGTACTAGAAATTGCCAGAGCAGATAACCAGGAAAGATGAGCAACCTCTCTAGGCAGGGAGGACAGGTGAGGGAGCCCCATGAGACTGTGCCTGGCAAGGGCGGAGACTATGAAGAGGGTATGCAGAAGCATAGCCTGGCACCTAGGACCCATGCTCTCTGCAGCTTTGAGAGACCTGTGGTAGAAACCTCAGCTGCATCTGACCTGGGGCTCCTGAAGCCTCTGAACTGGCCACCTCCTTTCTCTGTAGACTCCAAACCAGCCATGCTAGCCTAACATTTGAGCTGCAGGTCGAATACCTGGGCCTAAAATGGACCCTTCTCTGGCTTGTTTTGGCTTCCAGGGTTTAAATAGGCAAACTGGAGACAGACCACGGAATGTAGGAATAGGAATACACAGATAGTCAAGAAGAACTAAACTCTGAGGAAGAAGAATATGTAACAAATCTAGCATGATCAGCTTTTAAATAGAATAAATCGATTTAACAATGATGAAGAACTTATGTTGAGGAGGAAAATATCACAGAACATTGCAATCATAATAAAATAAGTGCACTGGTTTCTCTTTTCTTTGATGTGAGTTACCTATGGCTGTACAAGTTACTGCAGAACCTAGAGACCATCCAAGTTGATTAGCTTACAGGGTTTCTTAGGGGAAGAAATCTGGAGCAGCTCGGCTGGGTGGAGCTGTCTCAGTTTCCTCCAGGCTGCTGCCAAGCTATTAGCTGGCTGCGACTGCCAAAGTCTGGTGGAGCTGAAGAATCTGCTTCTGCAGACATGCATGCAGCTGTTGGTAGGAGACTTCAGCTTTCACTGCACAAGGCTCTACTTAGCTGCTCATAGCATGGAAATTGGCTTCCCCCTGAGTAAGGGAGGGAAGAAAAATTGAAATGGAGAAACCGGGGTGTTTTTTTATAACCTAACCTCAGGAGTGGCCCTATTCCAGTGACAGAGATACCTCTAGTACCATGTAGCAGGGAATTCATATAGGTGTGAATACCACGTGATGGTGGTGGGGATCATCATCAGCTCTATTAGTTTCCTGAGGCCACCACAGCCAGTTACTACATAGTTATTGTCTTTAAAAACAATTTATTCTCTCACAGTTCAGAACACTAAAACCCAAAGTCGAGTTGTCAACAGGGCTGTGTTTCCTCTGAAGGCTGTAGGACGGATTCTTTCTCATATCTGGTGGTTGCCACAGTCTTTGGTGTCACTTGGCTTAGAGGAAGGTAACTGCAACCTCTGTCTTTGTCTTTATGTAGATATCTTTTCTGTGTCTCTGTGTCTTCTTCTTATAAGGACATCAGTCATGTGGGACTTAAATCCACCGTAATCCAGCATGTCTCAGTTTTAACTATTTGCATCTGTAAACGCCTTACCTCCAAGTAAGTTCCTGGTCTGAGTTTCCAGGAAGGACACAGGTTTGAGAAGAACATTTTCCAGAGAGTACAACAGGACTCTTAGATGCTAGATCCAATACCTGGAATCCTAAGGGATGCTATGATCACCCCGGTCAAAGTACAAGATTTTCAAAATCATATTTGTTTTTGTTTGGTTAGTTATTTTGCTTTTTCCATAAAACCCTTACCTACATGATTCTAGCTATACAAACCCATCACATCATCTTCAGTGAGTTTGCTGGAATCCCTGCTCCTTCCACCTGAATCAGCCAAGTTTGATTCAGTTTGCTTTTCACTCCAGGGAGGTAGAGACTGAATACAGTTAGAAATTGTGTCTGGTTCTCTTACCTCAAGATTAATTTCCTTTCTTATTATTGCATAAGTAGTTCATCTTCATTTTAGAAAAATTAAGACTACAGATAAATAAGAAAAAAAGTAAAAGTGTTCTGTAGCCCCACCGCACAAACATTGCAGCACGTGATTACAGTCCTATCACCCAACGGAGAAGGAGTCTATGGACTGAGTCCCAAATCTCAGAAGAATTTTTCAAAACACAAGGCTAGGAGAAGTGAAAGAGGCCATGTGTCCTGGAAGTCAGAAATAAGAGTCCCAAGAGCAAAAGTTTGGAATCACTTCCTGTGAGGCTCATCCTGTACACCCTCAGCCTAGCCATAGCTGACTCTGCTTAGGGGGTTTTGGGGGTCAACTTGCCCTAATCACACTGTTGGAAATAGAAGTCCGTGATGGGGGCATCCCAGGGGCTGTCCTTAGGGATCTGGGAGAGCTTGACAGGCTGGTCAGCTTCCTGCGCTGTACACAGGAACCAGCCTGGGTATGCAGCTGATTCGAAACTGGAGGTGAGCCCGAGCTCCTGGCGGTAGAAGGTGAAGTGCTTGGACTCCTGGGTGCCAAGGTAGAGCTCCATGATGTTCACTGGCTGCCGGAAGAAGGCCATGTGAGAGCAGTTTCAGGGACAGTAGAACAGATGGGGTGGGTGAGACCAAAGCTCAGGGGAAGAGGCAGTGCCTCGCAGTTCCCTCAAGGGTATCCCCAGCGCCCTGAGGTACACTGTACCCAGCCTGCTTACTCTGCATCTGTGGACTTAGTCACTGCATGGCAAGCATGCCTGAGAAGACTCACCTCTAGTTTCAGAGTAGGTTCATTCCCTGTCCCACAGGATAGGCACCGACTTCCTCCCTGGACTCCCAGGATGACCGGGCATAGCCTGGCATCCAGCCACCGATTGGGGACAACACTGATCTCTTCACCTACAGGAAAAAAGCAGAGTTCAGGGACCTTGGCTGCCCTTCTGTCCACTGTAGCCCACACCTTGGACTCTGGGTCCAGGACCAGTACGAGATGTCTAAGCCCACCTGGGCAGAAAGGAAACCTTGAGCATTGTCACATTGGGTAAAGCTGCTCTCCTGCCAGCAGGCCCAGTGTGGACATCGAGGCACAGAATCACATCCTGCCTTTTCCCACCCCAACTTTCCATTCAGAGCCAAATCTTCAAATCTCCAAGTCTTCTCTAAACTTCAAGAGACTATCTCCTAATCACCTCCTTTAGTGCTCCACTCTCAGGCCTCTTTTCTGAAAGTTGTCTTGATGAGTTTCCCAGGAGTTGTTGGGAATCTTTCTACCCCTGTGAGATGCCTAAAAGCAGAGGCAGGTCTCACTCTTCTCTGTATCCCTATCACTCCCACATACCCAAACACAGACAGGCATACACACGCTTTGCACATATGTACAAACGTACAAATACAAACACACATGTATACACATACATAGTTCGTACACCTTCATACATACTCTGTACACATACATACATCCATACCTGCTCATACATACCTGCATACTTATATACACATTTACACATATAACCATAACATGTGTACATAGTTTGCACACAGTATAGTTATACATGCACACATCTGTAATGCTCTCACATACATACCAGCACACATTCATAGATACATACATGTAATACTCTTACATTCATACTAGCACATACTCACATAGGCACAGAGTGTAGTGGAGGGATCTACCTGGCTCCAGGCCCCCATAAGAATGCCTCGGTGGACAGGTACGCTCTGCTGTAGAAAGACCTGATGCCTTACCTGGGCCCAGTGAATTAGCTGGAGGCCACACAGCACCACCTACTGGTTATGTTCCGCCACTGCCACTGTGGGTAACTGACAACTTTCAGGGAGCACAGGAGAGCAGGATTGGAAGGAATTAGCTCATCACTCAAGGGAATATAATTCAATTCTCTCCTCAGCACCCACTCCCAAGGAAATGAAATTTCTGACCTACTCTATCTGGGAGGGAATACAGGACACTCATCCTGGGAATATTCTCTCTGCAGAGTTTTCAGGTTGCACAGGGCCTGAGCCCTGGCTTTGCTGGAAGTCTAACATATGCCTCCCTGGCTGACCTGGCATATCTGGAGTCTGCAGACCTGTTTTGGTTTATGTGACTGCTTGAGGCATCTTATGGCCCCTCTCTCCAGAACGTAGAGACCTGGGGACCACTGGGTCATGCTTTGCCACCAACCTTTAATGACCTTCCCTGCATGCATCCCTCCAGCTAGAAGCTGGTTATCATGCAGATAAAGCACCTTCAGAGCTGAATCCTTCATTCTAAAATGGAAAAGGAGGAGATTTTATTAAGGGAGATGTGAGTGCTCCATTTTGCCCAGGCACCGGAGTCCTCCAGCCTCATGGATCTTGTTTCCCTTTAGTTCTGGTGTGCCAACAGAACAACACAACCCCCTCACCTGGCTCATGGCCTACTAATGGGATGACCCACAGCCCCCATCCATTCTGAGGTTTGCACCTTCACCTTGTTCAGTCTTTTCTACCCCTACCAATCTTCCCATTGTCTCTTCCATAAGAGGAACTTAATCGTGTGTGGGAGCCTTGGACTCTGCTATTGCTGCTGATGAGCCATATCAGACAAGTCATTGCTAAACCAAGTGATACCCAGCCCTGAGTATCAATTAACCTTATTGTTTAATTATTATTAAAGACTTCAAGGTACATTTATTTCTACTTGGCCACAGCTTCCATGCTGAGTGAGAAATTTGTAAAGTTATTTTGCGTTGTGAAGTTATTTTTCTTTTCTTTTCTTTTTTTAAAATATGGAATGCTTCACGGATTTGCATGTCATCCTTGTGCAGAGACCATGCTAATCTTCTCTATATCATTCCAATTTTAGTATATGTGCTGCCGAAGTGAGCACGCGAAGTTATTTTTCATGTGTGATGTCTGTTGGTTTTCTGATAACCTGTGAGACAAAACACTCACACCTAAGTGGTTTCTCCGAGTGTTACCTGTCTGGCCCAGCATGATTGGGAAGTTGCATTACTTAGTGCACTGAGTTGTGATTAGGACCTTCTATAAGAGGTCAGGTAGCGTAGCATTTTCCACATGACTTGATCAGAGAACTCCCTGTCCAAACAACTCGTAGAACTGAGACCCAGAGAACATGCTTTGAAAAATGCTACAATGTCATTCCTTGGTATCCATGGAGGATTGGTTCCAAGGCTCCTACAGACACCAAAACCCACCATAGTATTTGTTTAGAACCTACACACATCTTCCCACATCAATATTACATATCATATCTAATCCCATGTAAATGCTATGTAAATAGTTGTTATATTGTATTGTTCAGGGGATGATGACAAGAAAAACATCTGACCACTTTCAGAACTGACTCAATGATTTTAATATTCTCAGGATGCAAAGAGCTGACCATTTTAGACTCAGTTCAGAGAGGATCATTCTTAGCCTTTGCTGCAAAGTACAGACTACAACCAAGTACTTGGCTCAGTACATATAAAGAAATGCATAGACAGACAGACTAAAGTTTTTGTTTTAGTCTCACCCAGCCCACTTCCTGTACAAAGACAACAGGGAGGAAGTGACCACGGCTGCTGTCAATTCACTACCACAGAAGACAACAGCAGAGCTCTGAGAGGAGCTCCTGACTCTTGTCTTCACTAAGGCTAGACCAGGCTGCCGCTCTAGACTGGGTGGTCATTGTTCCCCTCTTACATCAGGGCACCCTGTGAGATGGCCTGCCCCATCCTGCCCCAATCTGAAGAAAGCTAGAAGAGCTCTCAAGCCATTTGGTTGCTGCTCCCCACTTCCCAGCTACCTGCTCTGCCTGTGAGAGGTCCAGTGAACACCTGCAGTTCCTCACTTCTCCTTCACAAGCTGGGCAACAGGTCTACCTGGAACCTACTTTCCTCAGGTCATCACCAAATCAGAGGCCTGAACACTTACCGGAAGCACAGCGCCCCACTCAGAACCATCTTGAGCCTCACAGTGTGTAGATGCTTCTGTTTTGAAATAAGCAATCAGAAATTTAAGAAGACCCTAGATCATCAACAAGGTCTTCAGCCTCCCCATAGGTGAATACCCTCCATCAAGCAGGAGACTGTGGATCTGGGGTTCAGGAGAGAGCCCAAGACTTGCCAGCACCTCCCAAAATACCTCAAAATGCTCCTTGTCCTGGTAGGCATCCAGGTGTCTGCCTGCTCCTCTAGGATGCATCAGTCTTTAAAGGGCATTAAGGAACCAGGGAGGAGCCCTGAAACTTACTATCCAGGGAGGAGCAGGGTTACCCAGCTTGATTTTACACCACCCTAAGCCTCCAGAAATGCCCACTGCTGCTCATTATCTATCTCAGGGAAGGGGAAGGAGGCTCTGGAGACAATTCCCCACGAGCACTTCTGGACAACTTCCTTGGGGCTTTCCAGCTCTCAAGAACACTTAGCTCCCGCTGGTCCGGGAAACCAGATTTTAATCTGACTTCTTCCTTCTCCTCTCCCTCTTGCCTCCTTCCTGCTCTTCCTTCCTTTAGTACCTCCTTCTTTCCTGCTTTTGTCCAGCCTGTAGGAGATGGGGATGGTAAAGGCAGGGATCTCCTGATTAGGGGAGGCGCACACTACAGACTCATTATAGAAAAACCTGAAAATCCAGAAGAGTGAGAAAGGAAGCATTCAAGTGTCTTTGTGAAAGGTCTATCCATAACCATTGAAAACACTTTTTCCTTTCATGCATGTAACTACAGACAAGTTTTCTGTCATAAGCATCATAGAAACCTCTTCTTGCTGCTTCTTTATGTGGCAAAGTAACAAATTATCTTTCAATACCAAATGTAAATAATGACACTATTATGGCTAAGTTAGATAGAATTTAGTGTGAACTCAAACAGGGATGGGCCCTTGAGGCAGTCAATGCAAAGGATGGAAACACCTCAAAACTACAGCTGGAGCTGCATCTATTGAAGGTCCAGGTCTCAAGATAAAGGTGCAGTTCCAGGCCTATATGCCTGCCTAAGGAATAAACAATAACCTGAGTTGTGATTGGTATCACCTGGCTCAGTAAAGCTCTGATAGACATCAGTCACCGAGGTGGGTGATCAGAACACCTGGACCTATCCTTTCCCAAAATACCATTGTTCTTTCCATGTACTCCTGCCACATGACTTGCTTCCCTACTGGAGCAATATTAGCTAAGCAGCTGTACTTATAATTTCATAAATTGATTGTGGTTTGACCTATGCTGCACCTGCATTGTAATCACTGTATAAATTACCCCTGACAAAGAAACTGGGCAGCAATCCACCTTCAGAACCCCTCCTGTCTCTCAGGAGCCAACTCTCAATAAACATTTTCTACTCTTATGGCAGCTAAGTTAGGTAGAATTGTCCATTGTCCTCTGGAATTCATTTTTTGATTTTGGGGGACATGAATTTGGTGTATCTGACATCTAGAAGGTTATTACTATACTCTACATTGTTTTTGTTTGTTTTTGCTATTGAGCTCTATGTTTTGACAGCATCTATAATTTGATAATTTCTCTTTCTTAAAATTGGTAAAGTAAATTATAAACAATACACTTTTAATGCCTCCACAAACTCTCTGTGATGGATCTGAATTAAAGGGAAGAAACAAAAATAAAGATAAGGATCAGTGCAAAATAATTTATTTCTTACATATCATTGATAATTATTGATAAAATATACATTTCAAAGAAATGATTTTCAGACACATGGGCCAAAAAGTCCTTAAAAAGATTTTTAAAAAAAGAACAAAAAAAGATAAAGAGTGTAAAAAATATCATTTTCCTTGCAAAAAAATTCATTACATAATATGACTAAAATAATAAACATCTTTCTGAAAAATTAATAAAGAAGCTGAACTATGAAAAATTATTAAACAGTATATACATTGTGCAAATAGAAACAACACTGATATAGTTGCAAAAAATAAAACAAAAATTCCAAAGAGTTAATCTGTTAGCAATGTGGTTTTAAGCAAATATATTCTTGATCTGCAAAGTGATTGTCAGAGCGTTGGATATTGTTTCTACTTATAAGCCAAAAGTCCATCTGCCTGGGCCACTGTCCCTAATTCCCTCTGTAATATGCCCATATGCTTGCTGGACATTGTTATGGGGATAATAAAGCTCTTTCCACATTCTGTCCGGCAGACAATGAGTCCTGCACATGACTGCCCTCCTCCCAGAGGAGCCCTCTCAGCTCCCTCACTAGCTGAGCATGCAGGGAGCTGTCTCTGCCAGCTTTGCTTATGACAAACTGTGCTGAAATCAGGATCCATGCAGCACAATGAATGGAGAGATGCATGAATAAGCTAAGGAGAAGGTGAGAAAAATAAGATAAGCCTTTAAGAAAACACTTAAAAATAAGGGAAGAAATGGCAGTGTGGGCTCCCAACACTGTCAAACAGGTTCCACCAATAATTAGCTGTCCCTGGAACAGGTCGATTGATTTGACCTACTAATTCCTACTGACCAGGTCCCAGGTCCCTTATGATTTGAAAGTTTCCATCAAAATTTATGATGAAATTTATTTCCCAGTGTGAGTTAATAAGAGACTATTAAGTCATGGAAACAGATGAATGGATTGATCCACTATATATCACCTGATGAATGATTTAATGGGTTATTTCAGGAGTGGGGCTGTTACAAGAGTCAGTTTGGATCTGTCTCTTGTGTAGACCTCTTCTAACTTGTAATGCCCTGTGCTGCCTCTAGTCACTGCAGAGGGTCTACCAGCAAGGAGGACCTCATCAGATGCAGCCACTGATCATGAACTTCCCAAACTTCTGAACTGAATAACCTCTTCTCCTTATACATTAACCAGTCTCAGGTATTCTGTTATGGCAACAGAAAACAGACTGAAATGCAGACTTCATGAACTTATAAAGAATTAAAGTTATTCTTGGTGATAGGAAAAATAACTCTAAATAGTGTGGGCTTACTGCTTTTTGATATATTAGGCAGATTTTGAAAGTATCATTTAACCAATCTATTCCAGCAATTCTTTCCCTGCTATTAATAAAATCCTCTGGTCCTTGATTCACCTTTTGGTAATCATCTTTATTATATTTCTGATTTCCTTACTTAATAATCATAAATCTTTGATTGCTGCATATCATATGTTTTTATGAGGAGAAAATTTTGAACTTCATAAAATTAAAGTTTAGTATTACCTAAGGACAATGTTATTTCATTCCAAATTCACACACAATATATAGCAAATTTAAAATAATTTTACAAATGCTTCGACACTCCATACTGTGAGAGGCAGGACTTTAGTTTCCTGCCTTTGAGTGTCAACTGCATCTAGGGACTGGTTTCTAGTGAATATATTACAAGGTGGAACATGACAATGGGTCACTCCTGAGACAGGGTTATAAAAACATTGCAGGCACATGTTTACTCTTTCCTGGATCATTCACCCAAGGGAAGCCAAATTCCCTGTCATAAAGACATTCAAGTGGCCCTAAAGAGATGCTCAGATAGGGAGAAATGGAGGTCTCCAACCAGCACCCTAAGAGTGAACAACTCCAGAATTCCAAGCCTCTGCTCCTATTTCAGCCTTGAAGTGACAGCAGTCCTACTGATAGCTTATGTCTGTTTCATGAGAACTCCATGAAGCCAGTATTCTAGTTTCTGATTTCTGGAACCAGGTACAATAATAGATTTTTCTTGCTTTAAGTAGTAGGTTAGAGAAGATCATCTTCCCATTCTGGGACAAAATATCTGACATATACAATTTAAAATACAAAAAGGTTGTTTTGATGAATGGTTTCTGAGGGTTTAATCCATGGTTTTCTGACTATTGGAGAGAACTAGTATGGCAGAAGGGCGTGGTGGAGCAAAGCTGCTTACTTCATGGAGTTTGTGAAGCAGAGATCAGGGGAACAGCACTAGAAAGGAAGGGGTGAAGGGCCAGATATGGTCCCCAGATATGGGCTTGGAGTACCAAGACACATCCAAAACTACGCTTTGCTAACCACTGAGACAGCTCCCAAGTCAGTCAACTTGACAATCAACAGTAACCATACAGCTGTTAAACATAATCGTGGCCAGTATGCCTTGCCATCATTATTGGCAGTTTCAATTTCCTCTGTTTTCTCTTTCTTTCCCACACTTTTTGCTGTTTTCTTTTTCATCAAATATATAAGTTCTTTGTAGTCTTTATGTACTCCAAAAAATACCACAGCCTGCACTGGGTCAGTATCCCTTGTAGCGACTCATCATCACTTTTGTGGGAATCCCACAAAGATATAAAAACAGACAGATATAAAGATGTAACAGTTGTATTCATTTTATGTCTATGTAAGCATAAACAGTTGACTTCAGTATGACAATAAGTTCTTGTTAGAGAGATATGTTTTATAGTAATTAAGATATTCAGTATTCATTTAGTGTTCAGTATGTCTCTGGTATTTTGTTTAGTGGTCCATTCTAATTTTTTTGTTTTATGTTCGTGTAGATTTTCTTATAGTAAATAGTATGATCAGTTTTACAAATCTAGCTGTCAAGCATAAAAAGATTCACTATATTGCCCAGCATTTGACCAGTAATCAGCATAAGAGTAACATCTGAAGCCAGGAAACCTAACTCCAAAGCAACTGACTGCAAGATCGAACAGCAGTCAGAGTAACTCTTGTACTCACTAAGTCAGAGTTGTCACTCTTTTGATCCCCAGAACTTTGTGAGTAAAAGGCAGATCTTCACTGTGATTCCCAGGTCTTCCACTAACTCTTGGTTCTCACCCTCCTCATTCAGGAGGGTAAGAGCCATGCAGACCTCATGTTCTCCCTTGAACAAGCCAAGCATAGTACAACTTCAAAGCCTTTGTACCAGCTGTTATCCCTGCCTGGGAAGCTCTTCACCATTAGATCAGTATGGTCCACTCTCTTACCTCCTTTTAAGTCTTTGCTACGGTGTCACTGTGTTAGTGAAGTGCATGTTTACCCTTTTGTGCTTCCCCCTCATGCTCCCACATTTTTCTTACCATGATTCATTTCTTTCCAGAGTACTTGCCACAATTTAACATACTGTACAATTCATTCACATATTGCTTTTTAATTTATTGGTTTCGCCACCTAATACTGAAAGATAAACTCATATAAGAAAGGGTTTTGCAATCATGTTCAGTGGCATATATCAAGTATGTGGGCCTAGGATACAGTATGACTTCCATAGATACATAACTCACCTAT